CCCTCCACGCCACCCTCCCCGCCTGCTCCCCAGCTCCGGGACCGAGCCCACGCTGCGCTCCAGGAGAAGCTTGCTAGGCACTTCTCCGTCTTTCTGAGAGGCACCGTCTCACTCTAAGGTCTAGTCTGGTTTCACACTCAGTCATTCTGCCTCCCTCTCCCCAGTGCTGGGATTAAAGATGGTTGCCACATGCCTGGCTCAGCACCATTATTTTCTAACAGTACCTACAGGCAGACAACTAGCGGAGCCCAGCCAGGAAGGAAGCTGAGCTCAACAGGGTCCTTACCTCCCTGCCTGACTACCTGACTGACCTGACTACCACTTTCCAGATCCAGACACTCAACTCCTGTTAGGATAGCTTCCTAAACACCTGTGTGTGTGTGTGTGTGTGCGCGCGCGCGCGCGCGCGTGTGTGCATGCATGTGCATGCATGCATGTGTGCAAACTCAGGGCCTGGCCCCAGTCCCGAGCTTCTTTTGTGCTCAAGGCCAGTGCTCTACCACTTGAGCCACAACTCACTTCCATCTTTTTTTGGGGGGAGGGGGTAGAATTTTGGAGATAAGAGTCTCAGGGAGCCCTGGTAGCTCACACCTGTAATCCTAGCTACTCAGGAGGCTGGGATCTAAGGATCGTGGTTGGAAGCCAGCCTAGGCAGGAGAGACTCATCTCCCAACTCTCATCTCCAGTCAACCATAAGGAAACCAGAATTGGAGCTGTGGCTCACAGTGAGCCCAGACCCTGAGTTCAAGCCCCAAACAAAACAAAAAAGTCTCAGGGACTTCCTGACAAGTCTGGCTTCCAACTGCAATCCTCAGATCTCAGCCTCCTGAGTAACTAGGATTACAGGTGTGAGCCACCAAGGCCTGGCTCCTAAATACCTCTTGAATTGACTTCCCTCCATTTCACTCCCCCACCCCCCACCCAGCCATACTTCCCTCCATTTCACCCCACCCCCACCCCTCCCTCCAGCCACACAACCATCAGCTCATCTGCAAGTCCTTCACAACCATGCAGAGTACTCCCTTCCCCTGCTTTGTTCCCAGTCAGGAGCTGGGGTGAGCAAACCGAACAGAGAGCTCCCACTCAGAAGCCTGAGGCAGAAAGGATCACAAATTCCAGACCTGCTAGCACCACGTCAAGAGACAGTCTTAAAAATAAGAAAACCAAAATGAAGGCCAGCATAGGGCTCTGGCTGGAAGTCGCTCCTTGGCAGAGCAAGTGCAGGGAACGGGGTCCAGTCCTAGCTGGGAAAAAGCAAAACTAACCCCAACCCCCCAGCTGATTCCCATAGTTCCCTTCCTTCCTTCCTGAACACTTGCAGAGTTCCTTCCGGGCTGGGCTGGGCGAGGTCAGAGGTCCTCAGCCAGGCCTCGGCCGTGGGCCTCCCACCAGCTCATCCATGCCCGGCTTCACCCACGTGAAGAAGGTCAGGAAGGTCGCTGGGGCTTGCACCCTCCCCCCCCCACTGTCAAGTGCTTGGCTGAGACAAACAACTGATTGGTGCTGGTGCGGGGAGGGGGAGGCCGGGAGGTGGGGGGGGAGGAATCGCCTTAGGAAAGGCCTGCGGGGCCTTCATGGAAGCTGGGAGGAATCCTGGGAGCTGACTGTGGAAGAGTGGGAGGGTGAGTGGAGAAAAGAGAAAATGGACAGGAAAATTCCTTCAAAAATGGAGATGGAGCCAAGGCGCTGGTGACTCATGCCTGTCATCCTAGCTGCTCCGGAGGCTGAGATTCAGATGGAGGTTCAAAGCCAGCCCTGGCAGGAAAGTCCATGAGATTCTTACCTCCAATGAACCACCAGAAAGCTGGAAGTGGTGCTGTGGCTCAAATGGTAGAGCACTCGCCTTGAACTGAAGAGCTGAGGGACAGTGTCTAGGCCCAGAGTCAAGACCCACAACCAACAAAGAAAAAAAATGAGGGTGGAGAGTCAAGCATGGCGGCTCATGCCTGAAATCCAAG